GTTTGGATTCCGGCGGGGATTCCCGATCCAACTATGGGCTACGACACACACACACGAGCCAAAACTAAGATAAAAGTCATTAGTCCTGGATCAGTGAGATTCTTGCACGTGTACTGGCCTAGACCAGCGGCCGACTGTTCCCTATGTCGGCTTATCCCATCAACCTCGCTCTATCAGTTATAATAGACCCTAAGAAACCTCTCGGTTCCCCGGATGCACATAGTACTTCTCATATTCATCAGCAATTGGCGCAGAAATGAGAGACTTACCTCGCTTCTCAATATATACCTGTTTAGACTCCACGGTTTCAATAAACTGAAATTGCGTTCTTTCCGTGCACATTTAAGGCTACTGTACGCCAACATTGTCGGCTCCCGATTGGTTGTTGCCCATGGTGGTTCGGTTTGTGTTTCCCGAACCTTGACGATTCAGTTACCTGATTATTGTTGTCAATGGGAGTCCTCTGGGTGAATTTATTGTGCTGTAGCCTTAATTTTTCTGATTTTTCGTTCTTCAAAACAACCTTTCCTTCTTAGAGAAAAAGAACGAACAGAAAACGAGAGAAGAAACAGGAAGAGCGAAGCGAAAGAACAAGAAGCGAGAAGTGAAAGAACGAGAACGCAGCTTACCTTTCAGCAGTAGGCCTTACAGTGACCACGAGTAGCAAATAATAGAAATTGATTGTCTAGGAACTGTGAGTGCTAAAGAGGATGCTAAGTAAGATTAGTACAGGAGATGACCTAAGGTGCAATAATGCAAGACATTAGGAGGTAACTTCATCAAGAACAGTGTCCAACTTACGTGAGGGGCACTCACTTCGAGGTTCACGGCGAACTTGAAGGCGCATCCTTGTATTATGGATAGCGGGGCGCAGTCGTCCGCAAACAGCAGGTCATGATCTGTGATCGCAGAGACGCGCGTGGGGGCCTGCATGCGTCGAATGTTGGGAAGGCGTCCGTCCGTTCTGTAGTTGATGAGGATCCCGGGACGCTCGTCACGGTAGGCGTCTGTCAGCACGGCAGAGAACATGAGACTGAAAAGGGTAGGTACGAGGACATAGCCCTGCTTCACTCCATTGGTCACTGCAAAGGCTTCGGAGACCATTCCGTCGCCCGTGACGCGCGCCATCATCCTGTCGTGGAGCTGGCATACCCTATGAGCGAAATGGTCCAGGCAACCGAACTTTTGCATGACTTTCCAGAGTCCAGCGCGATTCACCGTGTCAAACGCTTTCGTTAGATCCACGAAAGTG